TTTTTTTTGGAGAGATTTTCACTGTAGGGCGCGTGCGCTCGCCAGACAGACAGAGAGAGACATAGAGACAGAAAGCGAGAAATCACCCCCCAGGGGGGATGGTCACGCCGCAATCCCTTCTCCTCCATTCTCCTCTCGGGATCTTGGGCACGCACGCACACGCGCCCGGCGTGATTTTTAAGCCACCGGGTCCGGGACACGAACCGCGGTCGACTACGTGGGAGTCCAGCGACATAGCCATTATGCTAACTGCTGGTTCCCAAGACTAGTCTCTTCACATTGAAAATTTAAGAATAAAACTACTATATAAAGCTGATTAATGAAGTATCAAATTATATCGCTAGTAAACTAAAATTAAAAAAAAATATACCAGCTAACTGTTCAACATATGGATAAGCAAAGAAAATGTTAGAGAAGTATCTATGGGCTGATCTAGATCTAGAATTAGGTGTCCATATGAATAGATGAAAAGAAACGTATTCCACCTAGAATTGAATGAACTAGCCAGAGTTAGAGAATTTCGTGCCAATGGTTAATAAGAGTAAGGGACCAGCAGATGGCATAATGGCTATGTCACTGGACTCCCACATGGTTGACTGGAGAAGGGACTGTGGCATAGCCATCCCCCCTGGGGGGGTGTGTGTGTGATTTTTCACTTTCTGTCTCTCTGTCTCTGTCTCTTCAGCAAGCACATGCACTCTATAGCAAAAAACTTCTCTAAAAAAAAAAGAGTCAGTCTGAGAAAATAAACTAAATAATGATAATTCAGCCAATTAACTCCATAAACATTTATTAAGCCATCACACTGTGAAAGAATTCTGAACATTAGGACTAAGAGCAATGAGCAAGTTAAAGTCCCTGTTCTTATGAAGCAGGGAAGAAATCAACTAAAAGTTAGTTCAGAGGGGTAATAAGACTGAAAAAAATAACATACGGTAATAGGAAAGAGAGTCACTGAGGGGGGGTCCAGGGTGTAGCACATGCCAAGCAACAAAATTTCATTCTACATCATCAGTCAGCAAACTTTTGTATAGGGCCAGAGAGTGAATATTTTAGATTCTGACGGTCACAAGGTCTTAACACAACTGTTTATCACAGCCTCGCAGCACAGCAGGAGCCAACACAATACATAAATGAACGTATGGCCATGTTCCAATCAAGTCTTATTTACAAAATAAGAAGAGGCCGTTTGATCCATGCACAGCAGTTTGCTAACCCCTGCTCCTAGATAATAATTTCCAGTTTTTACTCAGTGTGAAATGCCAACCATGAGTAAAACTTAGTTATAATCTTTCCTATTAAGATGTTCTGATTAGGTTTCATACTGATTGAATTTCTTGAAATTATATTCTATTGAACAATAATGAACTGGTTATTTATGCAAATAACTTAAGAAATTTTGGCAAAAAGGCCATACTTCAGGGGTCATTTTTATAGTTCGTTACTAGAGAAGACTCTGTGTGGAGCACCAAATACTCATTTATTTACTAGTGGGAAAAAATTTTTTTGGAAACATCTTTTCTAATGTTTTGAATCTCTGTACTTACTAGTGGCCAAAATCATGGCTTCATCCTATCCTGATTCTGTGCTCTGGGCTAAAGATTCTGCTGGGTAATTTCAGACAGTCTTAATAAAACAATATAATTCCAAATAGTCCAAGATCTGAGCCAATGTGTAAGGATGTTTTTCTTTTTGTTTTGGCTTTTTTAAGTGACAAAAGTCTTGCTATATTGCTGAGGCTGCACTCACACCTGTGCTTATCCTACCTCACCCTCCCAGTTAGCTAAAACTATAGGTGTTTGCCTCTGCCCAGCTATGTGAGCTTTTTATAAATGATGATATAACTACAAGAGTGAGAATACGCATTTACAAATACTTGTAGTAATTTGACACTGGCACAAAAGATTAAATATTAAAAAACAAACATATATTTAAACAAACCAACCCTGGTCCTTCACCAGAAATAATTTGAGAAGTATCATTCTAAACAACTCCAAGAAGCTGACAGGATTCCTATTCAATAAACATGAAGGCAAAAGTTATGTGTTTATAATATTCACTAGCTAGTAAGAAACAGCACTGGAATTTTGTCTTTAAGTATCATTTCAAAGTTATCAAAGATGTTATTACTTAGGTAAGTCCTTTTCATCAGTTTCAGATTAAAACTCTGATACTAGTGTTTCTTTCTACACCATAGGCTATTAAAATAGGGACTGCCTATTGAATGTGTATTAATACAAAATTTCAGTGCCTCTGCTGAATGGCAAAGCCCATGCCTCTCTGAAGCCTAGTTCTACTGTTTTTTATTCAAAGACAGTGATCCCAGCTCTTTCCACACTAAACAGAAAATAGGATTTGGGCAGGACCGTACAGTGAAAGATGAGTAACAGGCTCTCTGGATTCTACCAGTTCTTACACCAATTAGCTGGGTAACACTGGGGAAATGATTTAATATGAGGAAACTTCAAAAAGTCCATGGAAAAAGTTTCCATTTATTCTGGTGTAAAACATTTTGAAATCCATGCAGAGTGTTTTTCTTTGCTTTCAAAAAATTTTCCAGAGGGGACATTTACTCATGACAGAGAGAGAGAGAGAGAGAGAGCGAGCAAGTATCCTCCCACCCCCCTGGGGAATGGCCATGTTACAATCCCTTTCTTCCATTTCTCCCTCCTTTCAGCATTTTGGACATGCTCACAAACACACCCGGTGTGTGCTTCAGGCTACCATATCTGAGACTTGAACCTTGCAGTTGGCCATGTGGAATCCAGCAACCTTAACCATCATGTCACCAACTGGCCACAAAGTTTTTTCATAATACACATTTTTTCCATAAACTTTTTGGTTAAATCCTTGTATTCTGGGCTTGAACTTCATATGTAAATCAGGCTTTAAGAAAATGATCTCTAATCTCTTTCAAATCTATGATTCTGTAATTCTGATAGCATCAGTACTACAGTAGTCAAAGAACATCCCTGTGAAGATGCAGGATACTGCTTGGTGAGAATAAATGCTTAATACAAGTCTGTTGAAATGCAATAGCCACATGGGTTAAGATATGGAATATTGGGAAGGCTCTATTAGGGAAAAGGGGACGTTTTCACCTCAACACAAAACCAAAATGAGAACCATATGACAACATATTGTGGCTTCATGGAAACTTTAAAATCCTTACCCAGTAAGCATAATGTATGCATTCCATTTTGTCTGTTCTTCTTTACTTTGTCGAAGAAGCTTTCTGGTCTCCAAGTGTCTGTCCAAAAAACAATAGAAACTGTCTCTCCAAACTTATATAACTAGAAAAAATAAAAACATTCATTAATAATGCAACAATTCAGTAACTACTATTTCAAAAATTAGGAGATACTTTAATCTCTTTATAACCAAAATATAAAGCAAGAACCAGATTTGAGATGGGTCAGGTATTAAATCTGCCACCAAAAAGGAGCAAAAGTCCTCTCTGTTTCACAGTAGCAGGTGTCTTTCTGACACTCCATTTGGTAATAAGCACCTGTATTTTTACATTCTGTATAGGAATATATGTAACAATTCATAATTAGCTATAGGTCACTAAAAATACTGAAATGAAAAGACCCCAGAAGCAAAAAATAAAAAACAAAACAAACAAACAAAAAAACTTCTCAGCAGCCAGAGCAGGTTTCACAAAGTAATAGTTATTTATTTTTAATGTTTTTAGATTTTTGCCATAGGGCATGTGTGCCCATCAAAAGACAGAGAGAAAGTGAGAAATCATCCCTCTGGGGGTATGGACATGTTGCAATCTCTTCTCCATTCTTTCCTTGGGATTTTAGGCAATCACACACATGTGCTTGGCATGTCTTCCAAGCTGCCAGATCCAGGACTCAAACCCCGGAATTAGACATGTGGGATCCAGCGCCTTAACCACCACATTACCTACTGGCCCCAAAGTAAATATTGTTATTCTTATTTTACAGACGAGACCACCAAAGATTAGGAAAATCAACAGATTCATTTTAGTTTACATAGCTAATTAATATTTTTACACAAAAATAAAGTTTCAAACCAAAATTTCAGGGAATGCTTCTTTCTACTGTATCATCTCAATAAAATTCACAAACTGTATACTCGCTCCAGCCACTACCCCCATTTCACTTACAAGAGCAAGATCCCATTTGTTCCCTCACTATACAGTTCAACGAGGAGGGCCTTTTTCCCACCTCCCCTTCTTTCCATCACCATACTGAGAAGCTTGCTTCTCTGATCCAGGTTGGCCAAGTTGGTTCACTTGAGTCCAAGTGCAAATGTCACACTAATAAAATCCAATTTTGAATTCTGGCTCTGCGACTTGTTAACTGTGTGACCTGATTACTAAGTCTTTATGTCTAAAACATGGAGAGTGACAAAACATGGTTCTCCTACCGTGAGGTTTGTGATGACTGAACAACGTGTAAAAAGGTATTCCAACTGGGAAGTGATGTGTTCATACTCTTATCTAGGCACTGTGCAAAGGACATTCATTTAAAAAGACTTAATGCATGGTAAATCAATGCTAAAGTTGTGATGTGATGATTTAATTATTAAACTTAAATAGCATTTGAACGAGCTTACAACAGAGCCGGAAAAATCACATCTAGTCATCTGCCACAAATGAACCGTGTTCCTGAAACAGCTGTGCAACTTCAAGTCCCTTGCTTAGTCTAAGCCCACAATTCTTCATCTGAAAACAAAGAAACTGGTCTGGAGCAGGAACTGGCCATCTTCTGCTCCCAGTAGCCTAAGGCTTCTCAGGTCAGTTGAAGAGGCTTTTACAGGAGCTAAGGGGGAGGCAGCTGGGAAGGAAATAGAGGTGAGACAGAGAAGCTCAACATGTCTTATGTACTGAGGTCCTAAACACTAAAACAGGACCAGCAGTTGGTGTAATGGCTATGTTGCTGGACTCCCGTGTAGTTGACTGCGGTTCCAGTCCTGAACCCACTGGCTTAAACTCATGCTGAGAACATGTGTGTGCGTGCCCAAGATCCTGAGAGGAGAATGAAAGAGAAGGGACTGCAGCGTGGCCATCCCCCCTGGCAGGGGGTGATTTCTCACTTTCTGTCTCTCTGTGTCTTTCTGGTGAGCACACACGCCCTATAGCAAAATCCTCAAAAACTAAAAGAAAACGAAAAAAACATAAAACTCATACTTGAAATGGTGACTTTGAGTTCTAAAATAAAGGTTCACCATCTTCTTTCCAGGCCACAATCTCCAACCTACCAATGTTATTCCCAAAGTTTATTTGAAAGCTGTCTAAAAAGGAAATCTCTCATACAAGCCATACTATTCAGCAGCATTCAAATTCCCAGGTGTGGGTCAGTGTACAAAGACCATGTAACTCAAAGTATTCAGTCATGAACCTTCCTGCCACTGCAACAAGGTTTCTTATGAAAAATATATTCTGAGTTCTAATGTGGGATTCCTGCCACAATTCATCCTGTGGCAAGTTAACAGGAATGGTCCTGGTCTTTGTAAGTGATTCTGTTATTGTTACTAATCTATGTAAATTTGCCCACCAAATATTTATTATAGATCATCTACTATATGCCAAGTATTATGCGAGGCATAGATTTCAAGTGATATGAAAAACAGAGTTCTGGCCCTCCCTGAGTACGCAATCTTGCTTACACCTCATCTGACAGGCAAAAGCTCTGCAGTCATGGTACTGGTTCTTAGTAGCTGGGTGATCACAGAGGAGCCAAGTAATCTTCCTGATCCCTGGGCAGAGTCCTCCTGCAAAGCGGGTAGGAAACTATAAACTCACTAATGTGAGCTAAGGGTTAAATGACAGAGAGTATGTACAGTTCCTACTGGCACTTTTAAATGTTGGGGATTCGATGATGTACTCGTGGTAATGTTTAAAATGATGATGTGAAGATGTTCTAAAATGCTATGCGCTGCTGTAATCCAGCTCCTTTCCTTATTGGAATGAGCTCGACAGTATTATTAAATATAGAAAACTTAGTTAATTCTGAAAAATTCAACTGTTTACAACTTTTTATCATCAGTATTTAAATTTCAGTATTTCCGGACCAGCAGATGGTGTAATGGTTACATTGCTGCACTCTCATATTGTCAACTGTGGTTTGAGTCCCAGACCCAGTGGCTTAAAACCCATGCCGGACGTGTGTGTGTGTGTGCCCAAAATCCCAAGAGGAGAATGGGGAAGGTACTGTGGCATAGCCATCACCCCTGGGGGTTATTTCTTGCTTTCTGTCTTTCTGTCTCGCCCTATCTCTCTGACAAGCACACGCACACTATAACAAAAATATCTCTAAAAAAACCCTAAAAACTAAATGTCAGTATTTCATGTACAATTGTTATTCAAAATAGTTATCCTATAAAAAAAACTCCAAGAGAAAACTGTTAAAACTAAAATATTATACATGCAACTATATATAAATACTTTAAATGGCTCTTAAATAGTTTAAGTCATGAAAATACAATCATAAAAGTGAGTAACTAAATTCTTCATTTGAAATGAAAGTAATAGACCATTGAAAAGAGACTTGAGATGCTAGTCACATAGAGACACTAACCGAAGCATTCTGTGTAAAAGCGTCTTTGAATTGTCTAATTTGGGGGCCCAAAGAAAACCTCACACAAGCACTGCTTTCTAGGACCCTGATTTATAAACTGTAACCACTCCTGCGGCTGTGGTGCAATTTTTTCAATGAATCCTGGAACATTAGGCAAACAGTTTCACCATTTAGATGTCAGTACCTCAAAGAACAGAAAGATCAGTTCTTTGTGTTTCACAACCCGAAGACTTACCAGTAAACTACAAAAAGAAACTGGGGCAAAATCATACAGTGACGAGAACTGAGGTTGCAGAAAGCTAAGGACTGAGTTTGTCTTACACTGTAAGCCTTTGTGCTCTGCTTGCTTTTACCCAGAATTTTTGGACTAAATGTAAAGACTATAAAAACATCTATAGTCTAAGAGAGAGTAGGTAAAACAGGCCTTTTACATTTTAACTTGTAAAGCAGTTTACTTAACTCAAAACGACCCACTCATTATAAATAAGGTACTAGCTAACTAGAGTGAAAAAATGTACAAGACAGACAATTAACATTAGGTAGTAAATAATAAAACCAAATAAGAAATAGAGATTATAAGTACCATAGAGTTTTCAGCATTTTCCCTATTTCAAGAGCACCTGAAGTTGGACTTTAGGGGCAGGAGATTCCGAGTGTTACAGTAAGTTGAGCTTGGAGGAAGAAGAGTATTAGACAAAGTAACAGAAGTGGGAACTCTTGAGCAATATTTAGAATGACATTATGCAACTATCTAGAAATAGCTAACTATACCTGACTTGCCTATACACATATCTCTCTAATCCTGGTATCTTTCCAAGTGCTAATTCCTGCCAATTCCAACTGTGTAATTTATGCAGAAACTGACTACTTCTTTCTTTCTCTTTCACTTTGGTTTAAATCCTCAATACCATTTGCTTAAATGACACTGACAATCCCCTAACGCATCTCACTGCCACTAAGATGTCCTTCCTTTCAGAAAAATAGATGCTTTGTAAAATTTTATTTTATAATTATGCTTTAATGCATGTGTCATTTTGTATTACAAATAAGGATATTTTCTGCAATTTTTAAGTTAAAAATCTATTAAATTAAGAAATCTATTATGGATGTAAAAAGAAAAAAACCCAGAAAATTCAACATGCTAAGAATGCTATTAAGCCCCACATGTAACATATATATGTGTGTGTGCGTGCGTGTGTGTATGTATATATATTCTCCTAAATCAAGTCATCTGAATGAGGTTAAAAAACAAACAAAAAAACAGCCAGCAGAGCTGTCAAAAACGAACCATAAAAACCACAAAATGAAAAGTGACTAGCTTTCATTTCCTAACAGAATACCAATTGTAGGGTTGCTCTGCTGTCATTGTTTTTATCACCACATGGATTTTGCTTATCTCTGTTGTAATACTGATTCTGTGGATACTGACAGAGATTATGTGCATGGTCACACACATAGTTAAGACTTAAATTTAATGGGTCATCAGAAAAGTCATGACACGTTTTTGCACAGAAAAACAGAAAAATACATCATGACTTAATAAATGACAATGTACACAAGAGAGCTAAACAATTTATATTCATGTATAAATGAAAGAAGCCATTAATGAAGTTAATTTTAAAATTAGAATTGAAAGCATTCAATTCCAAAGAAAAGATCCAACTTGGTGGAGGAGGGTGGTAGTGGTAAATATATAAATAAGCAATTTGTGTCAGCAAATTATTTGTGGCATATTGATTGTA